CGTTCAGCAAAATATAATTGTAATATTTTTTCATGTATAATCATTCAGTCATCTAACGTATCTTCAGAGAGAAGAAATGATTGACTTTTTTATGCAGTGTTTCACTTGACTTAATTCGCGCTTTTTCAAAAGAAGTCTATTTAAACTCCAGCATTGTATAGTAATTTTTCAGCAAATTACAAAGCAAAATAAACAATGAAACAAACGCACGACTTAACACCAAAACAAGAGCACAATTGTAGTCATAAACAATCAACCACATTAATTCTGACTCTTCTAAAGACGTTTAACATTCCAATTTTCCTAAATTTGTTAAAAGGTATTTTTATCGTCTTTCAGCTGAAATTAGTCAATAACAGCACTACCTACGTCTGCTTAATGCTACTGGAGAAACGAAATCAATGGAAGAAGCATTTACGAAGCGAATTTTAACTTTAGTTGGCGCGTTTTATGTCGAAATCGATGATTATGTGTTGTGAACAACAGTCACTTTGAATTTACACGCTGGAAAAATTTGTTCACACCGATGTTAATCCGTTGCTGCTCTCTGAATCTATGCTGTCTATGAAGCGCCAACATAAGATGAAATTCCGTGATGGTTCTAATCTCACTGTTCTACCTAACTGTAATTGTTCAGAGAAAATGTAGCCCCAACGTTTGACGAAACGTCTAATAAATCAGGCGAGTCAGATTGTCCTGAATTTCCCTAGCGCACTGTCTGCTATCGACATGGAAATAATTAAAAAATACCGCGTTCGTTAAAAAAACACAATTCTATAGTTTCGGAACGCACTCAAGCCTAAAACTATTGCCATTCAAATGTGCATAAAAACTCCAGCAAAGATAAACGTCATTATGACTATTGGCACCAAATTAACTCATGTTCAAGCAAATTTTGAGCTAGAGAAGGGTGAAATCAATCAATCAAATTTCGGCTAAAGTGAATATCAAGTTCCAGGAGAAATAGTTCGTGTTACCGGTGTTAGCGAGCGTAAGTGCCATCATTTCGAATCATTCCGCAGCGCCTCTCGTCATCGGCTGACCGAACCATCGTTTACGATAAAGAAATCCTAATCACTCATGCTGGATTCGTTAAAACCTTTCTGCCTTCGTAAACGCTGTTCTCCCTCTGTTTCCAGGAAACCTGCTGACTAGAATCAATAAACAATTTTGCTGTCGAACTCCAATCATGGAAGACCTTTTTCATGTTCAGCAGTTGTGCAATAAAGATAATCCATGAATTGATACAACGTAGCAGTGAAGCAGATAAGAGCGGAATACCTGAGGAATGATCTTTGAAAGATAAGAAATTATAATTGAAGGTTTGGAATTTCATTGTGGAATGTACTGGAAGACAATATTACAATTCAAAACAATTTTAGGAGGTCACCTCATGAACTAAAGACTGTGACTTTTGTCCCGGCATTCTTAGCTGCAAAATACAAACTCGAAATATTGCTGAAAACAATCAGACAAAATGAATTTGAGATCCTTTTTAAGTCCATTTTAGTCTAAATAAGGGCAATTGAGCCAACAGCTTTATGCGAGTGCCCATCCATAGTTTTGCTGTGAAGCAGTAGAATAATTCCTTTCATCATTTATGAGGATTGTACACAGCATTCCTAAGCTAACGACTGTGACGTCGAGTCCAGCTGAATGAGTAAAGAATAAAGAGAGAAATGCGCTACTATAACGAATATAGAGATTTATCACTAGAAGCATCAAATATTCGTGCAATTACATCGACCTTTATTCGAGTCGCAAGGACTGAATGTATCTTTATCGAATCAGAGTTTGAGATTAGCATTAGATTGTTGAATAATCATGATGCTAAGGTGGATAACGAAATAAGGTTATTGTTAGGAAAGCTTTTTACTTTTCGTTTTACGTCTGAATTTTCATCCTTGCACCAAAAGAAAAATCAGTTGATGAATTGTGCGCACAAAATCAAAGAAACATACAAAGAAATTCTAAATTCGCGAGACTGTAACGATTAACAGTCAGCCGCTTCATCTTGCGATTTGATCTTACTGCAGTCAGGGCAATCCACTATATCCTGCGAAAGGGTTTTTATGCATCTACTCTGACCAGAACGTCTACCACACGTCAAGTGGTGCACTTAGCTAACGACTACTGCAACACAATCTCTTATTCCATCAGTTCTCTGCAGTGATATCACTTTGTTTTCAGTCAAGACAGCCGCATCATTTGGGCGCAGTTTCAAAAATTTTGTTTGCTAAAACACAAATGATGTAGTTCAGATAATTTCTCATAAAGATCTTGATTAACACATATGACGGTCGTTTATGATATAAGATAAAGCTGCCTACTGATATTGTACCATAACCAAGCAACTCGGACAGCGTGCCGACTTCAAGCAAATTGTGTACGTTGCAAGTATAGTTAAGACGATCCAGTAGCCAGCTTCTTGCTTAAAACTTGAACTGTTTAGATTGAATCGTTCGACTCATTTGTCCTTCAAAATATTGCAAGCGTCTTTTTGGTAATTGATTTGTGTTTAGTTATATTCATTTAGCGGCTTCGGCTTCTCGTGCTTTGAAGTACCAAATAAACTCGACGACGGTGACAAACATGGTTTTGTGTGTTTTTATTTGACTACTTTTCATTTACATACTCTTCTTCATGCTTCAGTTCCTTGGCTGTTTTTTGCATCTTGAAATCAACAATAAGTAAAAAAAATTTATTTTTTGATTTTAATTTCAACTCTGTTATAAGTATATGAATAGATATCATTTTCCATTTTAAGATTAAAATATTAAGTGCAATAGTTTTTTAGAAGATGAATAAATGAAAATTTCCCGATGTTGTCTATGCAAAAGTGTGATATATTCATGGCATATTTATTGTTCTTTGCAGTTTTACATGTGCTTCATGCAGCTTCGGTTTTATCTTCCCTTCTCGCTCGTGCATGTGATCAACAGGTAGTCAGTAT